TTAGAATATCACTGTCGTGGATCTTAATTGATCACGACAACATTTTTGACAAAAATAATCGCTATTGGACATTCGGCCCAAGTCATCGCAGGGAAGGAGAAAGAGTTACTAGAAACGATCCGAGCCCTCTCATCTTGTTTTTTTGGACAGTGGATAGCAAACTAATGGGTATTCTGATCATTCAAGTTCTTTTCCACGTCACCCAATTCGTTTCTGTTAAAAGCAGGGTGAAAATCTGTCGAGGATACGTCAACGGCTCGTTGAGGGTTTTCGCCTGTTCTCCTGCGCGGACATTCACTCCACACCACTCTCACACAGTACAGAGCCGGAGAAGCGGTCGAAGAATCGACCTCGACCATTGTTCACCCTTCTTAAAAGTGTGACATGGCGTGCGCCGCAGCCGAGACTCACCCGAAAAGTATACAAGCTGTAAATCGCACCAGAGTCAACCTTATCTACATATTAAACCTGCATCTTCCGTTTTCACATATTCATATTCATTAAGGAATGAAAAGCAGTGAACTTCTACGAATACAACATTCTACATTCGTAGAAGTTCACTGTTTTTCATTCCTTATTGCGGTTTCTGTGCCATAAGTACTTCGTGGCCATGCCTTCTACGGTGCCCATGTTACTCGTCATCTCTAAGTTCTAGTGACTACTGTAGGAAGTTTAGTAAGCCTTACGTTTCATTCAGTATTGTCTCTCCAGTGAACACGAGTGGATTTGGTTCGCCATTTGGATGGAAATTCCATGTGATTTGAGCAGGTGGATTTGAACCAGCAGCTAGACAGTGCAGTTTCGCCTCTTCGCCAGCTAAAAGTTGATGTCGGGTGCCTTCCGGGGTGCGAATTATCACTCGTCTCGGTTGAACTGCAATAGCCTTATTTAGTCCAACTTAACACATATTTGTATGGTTGTGAATCGAAATCACGAAGATAATTTACGTTGGAGTTGTGATAGATATTGTTACAAATTCTCTAAGTTTAAAACTCTACTATCCCTCACTCTTCAACTCTGCTCCAGCACCCAGCCCAAGGCATAGTAACTCCCTGTGCATGGCCACAACTATGCACCGACAGGTATGGTGAAACTCACAGAGAACGGATAGTTGCTTGGAGTCCACAAGAGGTTCGTCGAGGGCTGAATTCATCGCTTCGCATTTCAAACGCTGACCATTCATAGTTCGATCGAGAGTGATCGGAAGAGAGGAAATGGCCGAATCACCCGAAACTGAAGACCGTGCACCAGGGATCTAAAATCAGACATCTCAAGCATCCACTATTATGAGAAGTGTTTCCAACTACTGAATGGAGCTAAAAGGTAGTTTGGACAGGGTCAAGCATGCGTTGTGGAATCCGGAACGAGGTTGTGTTCAAGCTGCGAGGAGGGCAGGGGTCATAAGTGAAGAGATCAGGAAGAAGCCATGGTGTCCCTCTAAAAGAAAAGGAAGACGGGTTGAGCTGAGAACTGGCAGAAGCGATACTGATGCCTTTTTATGATTTGTAGAAGCGCGTCATACAGAGGGTCTTCACAGGTAGAATGATGCAGACGTGTTACTAATGCAGTGTATGAGAATTCATTGCAAACATAGACTGACACATCAGACTATGTAGGAGCAGATATGCTGGCTTCCACAAAACATTGCATGAACATACATGAAATCACTACAACGCTTCTGCGGTCCCTTTTGGGAGTCAAGACTGTGGTGCATTCCAAAGTCATGGGCTCCCTCGTGAATTCTAGTGGCATACCAGGGCCGGAGTTCTAGACAATGATATGAAAACCCACTCCATAACGGAAAAAAAGCTTTCTACCTCAATTGCATTTTCGGCTGTTGATCGGCCATTTTCCTCTCTTCCGATCACTCTCGATCGAACTATGAATGGTCAGCGTTTGAAATGCGAAGCGATGAATTCAGCCCTCGACGAACCTCTTGTGGACTCCAAGCAACTATCCGTTCTCTGTGAGTTTCACCATACCTGTCGGTGCATAGTTGTGGCCATGCACAGGGAGTTACTATGCCTTGGGCTGGGTGCTGGAGCAGAGTTGAAGAGTGAGGGATAGTAGAGTTTTAAACTTAGAGAATTTGTAACAATATCTATCACAACTCCAACGTAAATTATCTTCGTGATTTCGATTCACAACCATACAAATATGTGTTAAGTTGGACTAAATAAGGCTATTGCAGTTCAACCGAGACGAGTGATAATTCGCACCCCGGAAGGCACCCGACATCAACTTTTAGCTGGCGAAGAGGCGAAACTGCACTGTCTAGCTGCTGGTTCAAATCCACCTGCTCAAATCACATGGAATTTCCATCCAAATGGCGAACCAAATCCACTCGTGTTCACTGGAGAGACAATACTGAATGAAACGTAAGGCTTACTAAACTTCCTACAGTAGTCACTAGAACTTAGAGATGACGAGTAACATGGGCACCGTAGAAGGCATGGCCACGAAGTACTTATGGCACAGAAACCGCAATAAGGAATGAAAAGCAGTGAACTTCTACGAACATAGAATGTTGTTTCGTGAAAACGGAAGATGCAGGTTCAATATGTAAATAAGGTAGACTCTGGTGCGACCGACCGACCGCTTCTCCGGCTCTGTACTGTGTGAGAGTGGTGTGAGTGAATGTCCGCGCAGGAGAACAGGCGAAAACCTTCAACGAGCCGTTGACGTATCCTCGACAGATTTTCACCCTGCTTTTAACAGAACGAATTGGGTGACGTGGGAAAAGAACTTGAATGATTAGAATGCCAATTAGTTTGCTATCCACTGTCCAAAAAACAGATGAGAGGGCTCGGATCGTTTCTACTAACTCTTTCTCCTTCCCTGCGATGACTTGGGCCGAATGTCCAATAGCGATTATTTTTGTCAAAAATGTTGTCGTGATCAATTAAGATCCACAACAGTGATATTCTAAAAAAGATAGTGTTGTGCGCAAAAAATCATGCTGGAAATAATGTTTGAATCCTCTAACCTGGCGAAGCTATGGCTCACAAGTGGAAGTGGGCTCAAAACCAGTGCAGCGCTAATGATATCGAGCTTCACCCTGGCCTTCATTGAAGGGCGATTAAGACTACAAAACGGTAGACCCGCCTTAAATAATTGAGCTTACTCTTCTTTTAAGGCACCACATAGAACGCGTACCCGAATCGTCCACGAGACGTAAACGTGTCGGAGGCAACCATCAACACCTTGCAACTAGTCCGCTGCAACGATGACACGGTTGTAGAGATAGATTGCTTTCCAGTTCGAATTGCACTTTCTGCGCCATAATTCTTTGTTATATTCATAAATTCCCGTACATATGATACAGACCCAAGGAAGACGCGTGGAACGTCATTTAGAAGGCCCTAGTCGAATTAAAGACAGAAATGCTAGAGATACTACCAGAAGTTGTCACCGCATAATAAGAAGAGCGGGATCAACGCTAGGGAGAAGGCAGTATTATATGATGAAAAGTGGCAAAGCATTGACACTCTCCACCTGTGGGTTACTGAATCTTCGAAGTTCTTTTCTAACGGCAAGGGAGTCTACGCAAATCGTTCAGGTCAGACGATTGTCGAAAACCCAGGAGAAAAAACATGTCATTCTGGTGTTTGTTCTCCTGTTCTTTTCAAAGTAGGGCCTGGGACGCTAGTAGTTTGAAAAATCACTATCTCGGCAGGCTGTTCACATCCAGATCATGTTTCTTTGAGCACTGCACTCAAAGAAACGTGATCCGGACGTGAACGCTGATCGCAGCAAGTCCTTGGGTAACCCAAGTGTAGTGTACCCACTGAAATTTTTTTGACCTTTTACGATTTGTGGGCAATTTATTCGGAAGACTACATACACTTCACATGTATTTTTTTTTTTTTTGTCAAAATTGGCTAATTTAACTTTTTTGGGATGATCTCTGAAGGATATTGACATTTGTTACTGAAAGGAGTAAAACTAAGACAAACAACAATAAATTACCAAGTAGTCCAAGAAACTTGTCCACTGAAGAATGGTGGCATTAGGTCCAGTCTATTTTAATAAGAATTGTATAGTTGGAAGAACTGGAGTACTGACAGAGTGTCGCCGCCACAAAAACTGTTCTGGGTTAAATTGTGCCATCAATATTCCTTTCCTTTATGGTCTGTGATTCCCCTGCTAGTAAGTCAGGGACGCGAAGCTACCGGCTTGTGGAGCGAAGTGCCTCATAAGTCCCGCCGGATACTGTTATGTGCGAAATACAATACATAGTAAAGAGCGCCTTTGAAGAATTGTAAATGTGTGGCGCAATCCATAAGTTGATTAACGCCAAACCCCTTACCCCTGGCTTTCTAAATGAGTATTATTACAGATCACGTGATGCTGGCCACACCATCGAAAACGCGGTTACATTCACGCCGACTGAGGAATACGACGGAACACTCGTGCGATGTATTGCGAGCAATCTGTTGTGGCCAACATCGAAGAATGCTACATATCCGTTGAATATTCTCTGTGAGTAATCTATGTCTTAGTTTCTGATTCCGCGTTTCAGTACTCGGAAAGTACTTCTTTCACTTCTCTGGCTCACTTTTACCTGCAGTCATTTCTTAGTTTCTGCTGTTCATTTCTTCATGGCTTCCATTTGTTATGTATGATAGTCAGAGCTTTGGAGGTAGCACGAGAAGATTACTTTTTGTCGACTGGTCTTCACTTGCAGTAATTTTATGATCCACCTAATTCAATGTTCCGAAACCGAACCCACACTTCTTGCTGAAGATATTTTTAAAAATAAAAGAAATGGTATCTGTTTTGGGGAACGCTGGATAGCCATCGTGATAGGCAAAGAACGGGGTCAGTGCTACTCGGTCCGTACGGGGTTGTTTTCTAACGCAGTCAGCCTCACCAGTATCTTACATGCAGTAGTGCGTCCTTACTACGGACGTTCTTTTCGGGAAAGCCTTCAGAAGCTTCATTGATATGGATGGTATACGTAACTTGCTGAAAAAGGGGCAAAAAAAAAAGAAATTCCAGTCCTTCTCTCCCACTGCAGTATCTCTTTCCATCCTTCAGAAATAACAGTTACGGTCTCCTCTTTTGGAATTTATCAATTGATGGTTAGCGCGAGCGATCAAATACTTCTGATGAACTACAATCGCCAATATTTATAGGCTACAGTTAGTGTGACAAGACTTCTATCATAATCGTATTGTGTAACAGTAGCAAATTGAAAGTACTCACATAACTTTGGTGACTAATTTCAGATGCGCCCCGATTAGTGGTGAATAGCCCAATCAGTATTGTTGTGGCCGAAGGAGACTCATTCCGAGAGAATCTTACCGTCAAGGGGAATCCGCCTGTGTCAGCATGGCGGTGGCGTAAAAACGGCATACCGTTCGATCACACTATTGGAAATGTATTCGCACGTGGCGCTACACTTTCTGGGCGAATTGTAAAGGTCAGCAAGTTGTCAATTAGTTATTGTATTTATTATATCTTACAAGCTTGGGAATCTGCTTAACAAACTAGCCTCTAAACAATGAAACCGAAACCAATTCCTATCAATAACAGGGATTCGGTCATCACACAGATATAATGGTAGGAGCTTAGCTTTTTGGTGAACTTTTTGAATGCGTCAACGCAGTTCCATTCCTATTCAGAATCGTAGCGGCATCTGAGAGTTTTTGGCCAAAGCGTACCATAAACACATATGTACTTGTCACGAATTTTATTTTCCCATACGAGTCTGCAATTTGCCTGGTTATGGAGCATAGAAGATGGTTGGCCTGGGAGAATACGATCCGGGATTTGATCGCGGACCAGGGGCCGTGAGGTATGCTTCCCCGAATGGATTGGGGACGGAAATCCCTTTAAATTTATTTGTTTTGAACGATACTGTTTCTTCATTTTCAGTGCATGTTTACTTTAAGCTACACATATATTAATGTAGGCCCTTTATCAGGACAATCCCAGTTGGGAAGACAGAGAAAATTTAAAGGGATTTCGTCCCCGAACCCTTCGGCGAAGCATACCTTACGGCCCAAGGGCTCCACGAACGGCGCCACCGCACACCCTTTATTCATGATTAAGACATGCCTAAATACCTTTTGTAGCCCTATCTGATTTGTGCGATCCATTCTCTCGAAAAACCCATGACGATTTTTAATACGTTGACGCTTTGTGCTCTGGCATTTACTCAGCCGATGCGCTCCGGCACGCGCATTTTGAGAACGCGCGCAGTCCTTATATTCCTTTTATTTTCTGTTTGAAGCACCCAAAATTTTCCCACACAATTATTTCGGCAAGGATGAAAGCTTAGAGAGTGAACCTATATAAATACCAATGGAAACTTGTCTGGAAGGCGCTTGGAGAGTACGGCATAAGGTGGCTCACCAGCTTCCTGAACAAGATAACAGTAGAAGGAAAGATGCCGGATGCATGGAGAACAAGTACCATCGTCCCCATCTTCAAACAGAAGTGGGCGACGCAATGGACTGCTCCAACTACCGCGGGATCAAGTTGACTGCGCATACAATGAAGCTGTACGAGCGACTGGTCGACTCGAAAACTGCGGGAGCTGGTCCCGATCTCCCAGGAACAGTTCGGGTTCATGCCCGAAAGGTCTACACGGATGCCATCTTCATCGCTAGGCAAGTGATGGAGAAGTATCGCGAGAAGTATCGCGAAAGTGCAGGCCTTGCTACCTAGCCTTCCTCGACCTGGAGAAGGCGTTCGACCGGCTACCGCGAGCAGTGCTATGGAGGTCGCTCAGGGAACGAAACGTGCCAGAACACCTGATCTCGCTGGTGAAGGACATGTACGAAGGAGCCAAAGCAGCCATACGCACCCCTCACGGCCTAACAAAGGAGATAAACATCACGGTTGGGGTGCATCAAGGGTCAGCTCTGAGCCCCTTCCTGTTCCTCCTAACGCTCGATACCATGGTGAAGGGCCTCATGGAAGGACCACTGAAGACCATCCTCTACGCTGACGACATAGCGCCCTGATAGCGGATAGTAGAGAGGAACTTCAAAGCCAAGGTGCAGAAATGGCAGGAAGTGGCCAGAGACTGCGCAGGAGTGCTGGCCAGGAAGGGTGGCTCGGCTGAATGTCAAGAAGACTAATGATTCGTGAGACATAATTCCGGAATGAGGGTGCAGACAGTCCGCATATCATGGCCAACGGTATAGTTCGTTGTGGTGAGACCATCGAACGAGTGGAGGACTTCCGCTACCTTGGGAGCGATCTGGCAGCCGATGGTGGTGTGGATCAGGCGGTGAAGGCTCGGGTCAACGCTGCATGGATGAAATGGAGGGAGTCCACTGGAATCCTCTGTGATCGAAGATGCTCCAGAACGCTCAAAGGGAAGGTGTACCGAACAGTAGTCAGGCCTGCGATGCTATACGGCAGCGAGTGCTGGCCCCTGAACAAGAACCACGAAAGGCAGCTTCACTCCGCTGAGATGAGGATGCTGAGGTGGGCCTGCGGCTGGACGCGGCTGGACAGGGTCAGAAACGAGGATGTCAGAGCGGTCATGCAGACTGCTCCCTTCGGCT